TGGCACCTTGTGGTACTTGCACATGCATGAGTCATTTAATCATCACAAAAACCCTGTAAGGCAAGTACTGCTGTTTCTATTTTAAAGTTGATGAAACCGAGTAAATTATTTTGCTTACTCTCTCTAACCTATAACCTAGCCCTAGCATGAGACTTGTCATAGAGGATGGCTAAACACTTTCTAGGGTAGATTTTTTGGGTAAAGGATGGGGCAGGCAGTGGGTGGGGGAGACAGTAACTGCACTTTTAGTTTTTCAATTTCAAGGAAGAAGATGGAAGAAACGTCATTGGCTACAGTATCTGGCAATTCTACCTATGGCTTGGCATGAAGGGATTTTTCCAACTTTCATTTCGTAAGTTATTTATGTTTAAGTCACGTATATGCATAAACTTGAAAACTATATCTAACAACAATGTGCATAGTCCCACTGGGGTTTATTAAAATGCATTTTATCAAATTTTAAAGTAAACCTACATTTTAAAGAAAATGTATTCAAAATTAGGTCTTGCAATCCCTGAGACCACTCTAAATTCTTAAATGGTGAAATTTATTTTTACAAGTTTCTTGCTCAATGACTATTGTTCAAGTCTTTTAAATCAAGGGCTTTTGTTTGTTTTGTTTTTTGGGCCTCAATCCTTTTTATAGCTGCTCAATTTTACTCTATCTCTTAGAAATAACATTTACCTTTACTCTTCCTGTATGTATCCTTTTGCATTCAAAAAGTAAGTTGTATGAGAAGAGGGAAAAAATCTCTTTTTTTAGCTTGTACTGTTTATTTCACAACACATCTGTTGTTATGTGGCAAATCAGGGTCATAGACCCTGAGGCAGTGGCATTCAGGACAAGGCCTTTACAAGGAGGAAACATGGACAATGGAGAGTCTCCTATGAGGATTCCAGAATAGACATGCTGGGATATTTGTTCAGAGATGGGCAGAAAAGCAATAAAAACATTCTTACCCCCTCTATTTCTTCCTTTTGCAATTGAGAGAAAGATCTTAATTTGTTCCATATGTGAGAAAAATATAAGCTTTCTAGTGCTTTAAAGTGATGCTCTAAACTTTTTTCAGCCTTGGACTTTCCTACTGTGAAACTTGGCTTTACAAATGAAACAACCAATCAAAAATCAAGCAAATGCTACTACAGACTTTCTCTACTGTGCTGAGTCCTAGGGACAAATTTAAGCCTATGAAATAGTCACCAGTCTTCAAGTCCTTAGATCTGGTATAGTTGTGCTTGGGTACAGGGTAGAATCGACCCTACCTTTTAAAGTCCATTTGCTAACCCTCTACTGATGTGGCCTCTTCTCTCCTCTCCTCAACCCACCTCCCCTGTCTCTCCTTTCCTAGGAACCTGTTCCTCCCCTGGCCAATCTCACTTCATTCCCTTTTAGTTTCCTTTTATTGAGTTATGGTCTATCAGAACTAAACTGGGCATTAAAGATCATCTAGTTCTGTGTTTTTCAAAAAATTTTTTAAAAATTTTCTACCCTTTCCCCACAGAAAGCCTTACAATAAAACTCCCAAGATACAAAGCTGCTTTTAGTTTCCTTTTATTGAGTTATGGTCTATCAGAACTAAACTGGGCATTAAAGATCATCTAGTTCTGTGTTTTTCAAAAAATTTTTAAAAAATTTTCTACCCTTTCCCCACAGAAAGCCTTACAATAAAACTCCCAAGATACAAAGCTGATAAAGTGTACTTGCTCTGAAAGAGGACCAGAGGATGTCATGCCTTACCCACTCAACCTTCAGTTGGGTAACCTCAATCTCTGGCGGCAAAGAGTTCCCGAGGGTCCCTTGGCAGAGTACTAGAGATCCCCAGCCTAAGCTACCCCTTTATTTGGCAGGTGAGGAAGCTGAGGCCCAGAAACAGGCAGATTTTGGTTTCCAAATCTTCTGGCCATGAAGAATCCCTTTGAAGTCTAGGGGCTAAAGTCATTCTCGGTAGTTCGAAAACAGCTTTCATTTGCTAAGGCAACACCCCAGCCCTCAGGACTGGAGATAGTCTGCAGACTTTACTGTCTACTCTGAGTGCAGTCAATTGACCTTTTCTCAAGGACAGAGAGAAAGAGAAGGGAAAGACATAGGACACGCTTCAGAAATTATGAGCGCAGTCAATTGGCCCATACTGGGCATCCTAATGGCCATTTCAGCCATTTCTTAGCCACCAAACCAAGAAAGAGGTGGGGCCAATGGGGTAGTTACACAGCACTCATGAGAGCAGAGAGAGCTTTGTGGGCCTGGGTGAACTCTGACATGACCAAGCATGGGGAAATGACCAGGCATGGGGACATGACAACTTGCCTTCCCTTCCGAGGAAGTGGCTTCATGCTGCTGTGTCAGCTCCATCGCTGTGCAAGGCTCTACTACGGCCTCTCCTCCCTCCTCCCCACTGCTACAAGATGTACTGCCAGATGAATAGTTGTTCCTCTTCTCTCTCTGTAATATAACAATATAAATATATAAAATATATAATAAAATGTCATATAAAATATAAAGCCTCTCCCAGCTTTTCAAAGTCAATACAATTAAAGCACAATGCATCTGAATTATCAGCCCCCCAACCCTGTGCAGTCCTAAATCAAATGGGTGCTGGACCTGAGCTAAAGGAGGTGAGAAAGCCAAGCTGGGATTTCTGTAAAGGTACCCCAGACAAAACAGTTTGCATCGAAGGTGCCTGGTTTTCCACAGTGCTTTTTCCATGCTACCTGAAGCTATTTTTATATCCATCATTTCTTCTATCTCACACTACCTAGAGGCAGGGAGAAAGACAATTAATTCAATTTTTCTGGAGAAACAGAGATCCAGCAACTCTATGTCAAGGGGCATTAGGAAAAGTCCAAAAGACAACCAGGATCAGCTACTTGAATGGCTGACATCCTCTTCATCATCATAACAATGGTGATAAGTGGTTGTTTGGCCAAATGTTAAGAGTTCAAATTCTGCTTCTGCCACTTACTAGCCAGTGTGACCTTGCACAAGATGCTTAACCTCTGCTTTAGCATCTTCATTTGTAAAGTGGCTGATAATATGGTAGCATCTACTTCATAGCCTTGTCAAAGAATTAAATGAGTTACATGTGTAAGAAGCTGAGAACAGCACCAGCATGTAGCAAGTGCTCAATAAATTTCATTTATTTGTGTAGTACTTCACGGTTTACAAAGTGTTTCCACAGACATTGTTATCTCTTGACTAGGATCCAGATCACTTGACTCTCAGCCCAGGCATTTGGAAAAAATTCAGAATATTGAATAAGATCCAACACTCTTTATTGAATGCATCCCAAGGAAGCTAGTCTGCTACGCATGGTTTTCCTAGCCTAGTCCTGTCTTTCTGCCCCATGCCCTGGAGAAGCATTCTGCAAGGTCTCCAGGACATCCCATCTGTTCTGGAAGAAGCTCCCACCCAGGAAGTATGAACTTGCCCTCATCTTTACTCAGCAGGAGGCAGAATTGTGCACATTGTTGCTTAAGCTCTGGCTGTCTTATCTCCCCACTTCCAAACACCACTGAATATTTGTTAGAAAACCAATTTTGGACTCAATTCCAGAATTAAGCCGTATCATTTCCCCTAGTAAAACCTTTAGATACCTAATAAAGCAACATCACAAACATACTTCATGAGTGCTGCATGAGTGCTGGTCACCATCCCTCCCCCACAGTGCGTGCAGGGAAAGAGTAGGGGGCTGACATTTCTGGAGAACCTGGCTTATGTAAGGCTGAGGTTACCTGGGACTGTAGAGGGGAGAAGGAAAGAGGACTGTAGAGGGGAGAAGTAACTTGTCCAAGGTAGCACAGATGATGAAAGTTCTATTATGCACTTACCACCTCTATGATCTTGCTCAAACTCTCTGAGCTGTTTTCTCATCTATAAAACTGGGGTAATAAATGTATACACCCCATAAGGGCGTTGTAAAAATTCAATGAGTCAACTTCTTCATTACACTTAGCACAATGACTGGCACATACAACAGACAGGTAAATGTTAGATTTTATTAGTAGTAGTACACAGAAAAGAGGATCAGCTAGGGTTTACTCGGTGCCTCTTTCATTACCTCAAGTCGGGCTGACTGAGAACAATGACTGTCTCCAAATGAAAGAGCTTTAACACTCCCCAGCCAAGTTCACAGGTGTGGGTCACCAGGCTTCCTGTGGTTTTGACTTCCACCTTCTTTGAGGTGGGAATAGTCCAACCTATGATGCAATTCTCTTACCAATACCGTGCAGTGGTGATCTAGACTTTCTCTGAATCCTTTCATAGGCAGGATACTCACTCCCTTATGAAAATCAGCCAATTCCATTGTAAACACCCTTTATAATTAGAAAGTGTCCTTTCTCTTGTTCCTTCTCCTGCTACCCTCCTGGCCCTTCCTTCCTCCTTTCTTCTTCCACTTCCTCTTCTTTCCACCCTGTCCTCTCTCTCCTTTCATCTCCCCTCCCAGGTCCTGCCGGCTCCAAGACCTTGAGGTCCCACTTTTTCTCCGGAAGTCACTATCCAGTCACTGACCACAGTCGTGGAGAGTGTGGTAGGTCTTTGGTGTAGCCACTTGGTCGGCTGCTTGGAACTAGGCCCCCAGCGGCCGTAACAATACGCTGGGTTTTGCAGGATCTTTTGGAGACAAAACCTTTTACTTGGGCTTTGTGGCTTGGCCTTCTGGTCTATTAATATCACCCATCAGTTCACCCGACGGTCATTATTAACCTCATCTAGAACCACGTGAAACCTAAAATGGGCCGATCTGTTGTCTTGAGGCCCAGCTGGGCCGATATGCAAGCCGGGGGGAGGGCTGGGCCGCTGGTGACTCTCGGAACCAAGCACACAGGCAATCTTCGCTGGTTTGGGATTCTGCTCCCAGAAGCAGGCCGACGGTGGCTCGCGTCCAGCCGCGCGCAGCCTCGGGCCTCGCTGCCGCTTTAAGAGAGGGGCGGGGCCCCGGGAGAGGCAAGGCAGGGCCCGCCCCCAAGGCTCTTTTTCCTTTTTGATCCATTCAAAAATTACTCATTGCAAATTCCCGGACTGCTAGGAGAGAAGCAAGGGCGGAGGAGAGAGGGCTACCGCCGGCGCGGCGCTGGGGGCACCGGGTCCGGAGCGGCTGAAGGCTGGTCCCGCACGAGCTTCTCGCCTGCGTTCTTGCTCCGGTGGCCTCACCAGGAAGCGCCCGTCTCGACACTGGGGAAGCTCGGAGCGCCGCCCCCGCCGCCGTCGCCTCCCGCCTGGCTCTCGGTCCCGACCCCCCGCCCCTGCCCCAGGCCGGCTGCCTCCTCCTTCCCGGACGATCCGGCTCGGGCGTCTTCCCCGGCTATGGCTGGCCACTGAGCCATGGCTCAGTACGGCCACCCCAGCCCGCTCGGCATGGCTGCGAGAGAGGAGCTGTACAGCAAAGTCACCCCCCGGAGGAACCGCCAGCAGCGCCCCGGCACCATCAAGCATGGATCGGCGCTGGACGTGCTCCTGTCCATGGGGTTCCCCAGAGCCCGCGCGTAAGTGGCGGGGCTCGCGGCCCTGCGCGCCCCCTGCCGCCCCACGCGGCCGGCCCTCGGCTTCGCTCCGGCTCGCCTCCCGCTCCTGCCTGCCTAGATTCAAACCCAGGCATTGTGTCTGCACAGTTCAGGCCTCATGTCTAGGATGTAAATGACTTAACGTGGGTAAAATGCTTAGTACAGTTCCTGGTACATAGCGGGTGATCATTAAGGCGGCGGTGCGGGGCAAGACGCGGCGCGGGAGCGCCGGGCTGGGGGCTTGCCATGGGATGTCTAGAGCTGGGGGGAGAGGGCACTGGGTTCGAGTCCCGGGGACGGTGGCCCGCGCCCGGCCCCGGCGCTCCCCGAGGAGCTAAGCAGTTGTCTCGTGCGCTCCCCGAGACCCCACAGGGGACTCGGGCACCGTCTTTATCCGGAACGTTGGGCAGGCTTGGGATCCTATGCTGGCTGGGAAAGGACAAGGGACTGCAGGCAGGGAGGCCGGCGCCCCCACTGCAGCGGCTTCCAGCTCCGGATGTCACTCTCTGGTTCGGTCTCCCTCCGGAGTAGGAGGAGCAGGAGCGTGGGTGTTGCTGCGTGTTCATTGATAGGGAGGATGGAATAAGGAGAAACGATTCCTCCAGGGGACCTGGGTTCTCGTCAGTGGTGACGGCAGCGCTAAAATCTGTGGGTGCCAGAGAGTAAGCAGGGGAGCTGCCTTCCCTCCTCCTCCTTCCTCTCGGAGGGTGGGATAGGGAAGCGCTGGGAGGGCGCAGGTGGCTGCCACTGCAGCCTGCCAGGGAGAGGCCTGCTTGCCAGCGCAGGGCAGCAGCCGCAGGAGTCTTCGTCAGCCGTCAGCCCAGATCTCAGGGGCTGGAACCCTGCCTCAGAGGAAGCCGAGGCCGGCTGACCAGGTCCTTCGTCCCTGGTTAATTCCTGGGGTGCAGATTTCTTAGGTGGGGACACTAGGCCTGGGATCTTGTGGGCTGCTGCTTTTTTACATCTTTGAATTACATCACCTGAACAGGAGAGTTGGGCAAACTTTATCAGGAAGGGCCAAGTAAAGTTCTTTTTTTTTCCCTCCCTTTTTGTTCGGGTGATAACTCTAGGTCTCCCTTCCCCTGACCATGGGCAAACCCTATTTATTCTTTACTAACTTGGCTGTAACTCATGATCAAAGAGACCCCTGAATTGACCATTCTATCCAGCCTGCTGGGACAGGTTGGTATGGCCTTAGAAGGCTACAAAATGGACTGTTGGTTTCTGCCTCCCCCCAACTTCAAGCACTAGAGCTCCAGCTTTGGAAACAGATTTACAGGGAGAAGATGTGGGCTCTGCAGGGCATGTCAGGCATGGATGCTGCAAGTTAGGTCCTTGGTAAGTAAGGGTGATCAGTGTGCACAGCTCCTCTTAAGAACAGGAGGTAGGAACCGGGAAGTCGGCTGATTAATGCTGCAGAATTAGCATAGTCACAGGCATCTGCCTTTTCTAAAATGAGGCCAGCATTAAGGACCTAAGTTACTTAATTAAGGGAAGAAATACTTAATTGAACTCCTCAGATTGTCGTATTTGCTATTTAAATCTGCTCTAAGGGACATCTTTTTTCCTGCACTGGGTCCATGAGGCTGTGCCCATGTCCTGACAAGAATAGTGTGAGGGTCTAATTTTGGTTTGCTCAGCCCTTTAGATCTCATCATAGCTAGCATTTACTGAGTACTTACAATATACTGTTCTAAGCACTTTATTCTTATTACCTGTTTTATCCTCCTAGCAACTCAGTGAGGAATGTACTATATGCCCATTTTATGGATTGGTAAACAGGTTTAGAGAGGTTGCATAAATTGCTCAAGGTTATGACAATAAGCAGTGAAGCTGAGATTCAAACCCAGGCATTGTGTCTGCACAGTTCAGGCCTCATGTCTAGGATGTAAATGACTTAACGTGGGTAAAATGCTTAGTACAGTTCCTGGTACATAGCGGGTGATCATTAAGTGTTTGCTACCGTATTAGTTAACTATGGCTGCTGTAACAAATGACCACAAACTGGGTGGCTTAAACCAACAAAAATTTATTCTCTCACAATTCTAGATACCAGAAGTCCAAAATCAGTAACATTGGGATGAAATCAAGGTGGCAGCAGGGCCACACTCTCTTTGAAGGCTCTAGGGGAAAATCCATTCTGTGCCTCTTACAGCTTCCGGTTGCTGCTGGCATTCTCTGCCTTCATTCTTCTCTCTGTCTGGGTCAGATCTCCCCCTGCATGTCTCTTGTAAGGATATATGCTATTGTACTTAGGACCCCCTGGGATAATCCAGGATAATCTCCCCATCTCAAGATCCCTAATTTAATCATATCCTCAGTCTTTTTTTTTTAACCATATAAGGTAGCATTTACAGGTTCTAGTGATTAGCACATGGGTATCTTTTGGGAAGTCATTATTCAGCCTTACACAGTTATATTATTATTATTACTAGTGCTGTATCTCTTCACCAAGGCGGTGACAGAATAGGCCTTGTGGGAGGGAGGTTTGGTTTGCTGTTTTGTCTTTCTTAAATGCTCTGCCTCGAAGGGGGCAGAATTCCTGGAGGTCACCTGATCTGGTTGGATCCTTGCTCAGGCTTGCATCTCCTCTACTCCAACTAAAAAAAGCTGATGTGGTCAGCCTTCCCCTAGATAACTTAACACAGGTCAGTAAGACGAGGGGCCATCAGAGATTTTAGAGAGCAGGCTTTTAACTTCATGTATAGAGTCTAGAGAGCAAGAGCATGAAACTTAGCCTAGGAGAAGCCTCTTTCTCAAGCCTTAGGCCTGGAGGGAGGAATGTGGTGGAAATCCAAAGTAGGAAAGAGCAGGATGGTCTCCTGAGTTTGGGAAGACTTGGATGTGGTGCCTCAGGAGGGGATGAGACGCCTGTTTCAAACACGGCCCTTTCGAGAGGCGGTGGTAGCCAGGGCTGACAGATCTGGTTTCCCCTATGGGTGTAAGGGGGCTGGTGTTGTGTGGCAGCAGGAAGGGACACTTCGGCTGGACTCTGGGTGGGCCAGCAGAGAGGGCAGAGGCCAGCGAGGCCAGGTCTCATTCCAACCTATGCTGTGCCATGCTCTGTCTTGGAAAAGTCATTTGGCCCCCTCAGAGCCTTGCTGGCGTCCTCTAAGGGGAGCATGACTAATGAGCGCATGCTTGTTAAGTGCTTGACAGAGCCGAAAGGACAGGAGGAGTGCAGGGCTGAGCCCAAGCAGGGCCACCTCAGGCTATGTTCTCTCTAGCTCATTACTCCTCTGGAGCTGTGCTCGGCTTTTTCCATCTTACCACGTGAACTTCAGTCCAACTTAGACACTGCTGCAGAAGAACCTGCCACATGCAGAAGGATCGAGAGGTGGCGATCTTTTGGGGGGGGACAGAGGGGGAGGGGTTACAAGTACAAGGTAAGGAGGTGTTAGGGAGGCATCAGGAAGGAAACTTTCAAGAGGTCGAAATGGCCTATCCCTTCCTTTTTCCTTCTATGCCCAACAGCACTTCCCCGTTCCAAAGGTTCTAAAAATAAAGATCCAGCTTCCTCGAGGCAAGTGAGCTTGGTGGGAAGGAAAAGGCATAGTGTGTGTGCTGGGCAGGGGCTTAGGAACAGGAGGCTTCAGGGGCCAGGAGGGGGACTGAGTAACACCGGGGAAGGCAGGACAGGGACTCTGATAAGAGTTGTTGCTTTGCACAACCCGGCTTGCTGTTGGAGCACTAACCCCCCCTACTGACCTCCGTGGTTTCTGGGTAGAGAGGCTCTCATCTCTTCAGAAGAAGGCTCTCATCTCTTTTATTGTTTGAGGCCTCCTGTGGCTGGAACTTTGTCTACAGCAAATGGCTTTTGGGTATTTCCTAATGATTGAGAGATAATAAACTTGGGAAGGATTGTGACAGAGGTCAGATGTCCTGAGTTCTAGCCCAGCTTCCGAGTGACACTTGAAGCTTTTAGGTCTTCCGTTTAACCCCTTTCCCTTAATATCCTGATCAGCTTCTGGGCAAAGCAACACCTGTCGTGGGTCACAAGGCTTTGCAAAGACGAAATGAGACAATGAACAGAAAAGGACTCAGAAAAGTTAACAACAATCTGGACAGAAGATATTATTATGGTATTATGTTGGATTGAAAGAAAAGGAAGGAGGGGAGATGGTGGTTGAAGTGTCTGGGGAGTAAATACATGTATTTCGGATTGTCCTTTTGTTTTTAAGGAAAACAGTTGAACAATGACTATTTAACAAGCAAGACAGTGGCAGAAGGAAAGAGCTGGAATAAGTGCCTTTGACTTGGCTTTGGACAGTAAGCTGTGTTAGCTATGCCTCACTGCCCAAAGATAAAAGCCACTCAAAGCTGGCTGCCCGAGGAGTTGAGAAGCGTCGTGCAGAGCCCATGAATTAAAGTGTCTAGTTTCTCTGGCTTTCTCCAGCTTACCTGTTGGTTGACATTGGATCCTCTGAAAGCACTTGGTCAACCCAGCATCTCTGACACATAGCTGACTCTGGTATCGGGGCTGCAGCTGCTTTCCCAGGGGCCTTGGATAGAAAGAGAAGACATCTGGGGACCACCTGGAGCTGCAGGGCTCTTATGGGTGGGCCGGGCAAGGAAGTTCCTAACTACCCACCGTGACCGTGCGCCCACACTACACCCTGAATTTGTGTATTATTGTGCAGTTTAAAAATTGCTCTCATGTGCATTCATCATCCCACTTGATCACCACAGCAGTCCTTGAGGTAAAGGATACAATACGTCCCTCGTTTTAAAGATGAGGAGACTGGAGGCTCAGAGTAGCTCAGGCACTTGCCCACGGTCACACAGTTGGTTCACAGGGGCATGTTGCCATAACAGCCTCAGGCTAAAACTGCAAGTCCAGCGAACTTCCAGGCTACACAGAGGTCCTATTTCAAAAGGAAAGATGTCGACATGCTTTCTTTTCAACTTTATTGAGTTATAATAAAACTTATGTACAATAAACTAAATCTATTTAAAGATGGATGCATTTTGACAAATGAATA